GAAGGGTGACGGCTCCTTACCTGCCTCTCCGAGCGGTTTTCTCCACACCACCACCCCAAGGGAGGTTTTGGATAAGCTCGGAGAATTGCAGATGAGCGAGCAGCCGGACGCTGAACTAGGCAATAAATGCATTTTGCATTTCCTCTCTTCGTGAAACGGGGGCAAGAGCCGGCTGTACGGACGCTGACTGTTAGGTGGTCAAAGCAGACCACGAAACCGCCAGCACACGGCTGGCTTTCCTTTGAGGAAGAACAGATGGAGATTGAAGTCCTTAACTGATAAATGTTTCCCAAATTAAATTACACTCATACATTTCTCTAAGCATTTCCAATTACTCTATCTCATTTTACCCCTTGCTCTTCACCAGCTGTTGCTGTCTTTCTTCCACTTCCCTAACAGGCAGCAAGTTGTGAGGCCTGCAGGGTCCCGGGTCGCTGTTCTCTTTACAAGGAAATGGTTGGGTTTTTTTCTAAACCAACTGAAGCAACCTGCAAACAAACAGAAGAATTCCTACCAAAACGAAGTGAATCCTTGTGGCATGCTGTTACGCTGCGGGAAGAATTCTGCCAGGACAGACAAGTTCACCATGCCTAATCGCAAGTGCACGGCCGGCTCCCGCAGTTTCGAGGCACAGCTGCGCCCACTTTGTCTTTTCATGGGTACAGTACCTCAGCACGGGACAGCCTGCCGGAGGGGGTGTGAGCGGAATGCGTGTGGGCAGCTCTTCCCCAGTGCCTGTAGAACAGTTACCCTGCTATAAAATGCAGCTGCTGTTATTCTGATATGTCACACAGCTTAGCACTCCTAAATTCTCCAAACCTGATTGTTTTGTTCTCCCCAGTTCTTTTTTGGCCAGCACCAATGCACATGCCTCTGCGTGTGCCAGTTATGGCTACAGAACTGTCTGCAGCGTAGGCTGGAGATCGGCGCTACCATGTCTTGTCCATCACTTGCCCAGTAGGACCATTGCAATGATCTGCACGACAGCCAGCCAGACTCATTGCAAGCAATGGCACCTTCACTTTGGGGCCCATCCTCCCTTCTTTGCAATGATTTTTGCTTCTAAGAACCACAGATAGGCAATAAACTCCAGGACAAGGACCACTAATAGCTCATAAGGCTATGTAAGTAGTCTATGGTAGGTCCAAGCATTATTCAATTTAAAGTTCCGGTATTAAAATGCGATGGTTCCTCCCTACATGGTGATGAACCGTCCATCTGTGGTATGCTACGTGCTAAAACCTTTGGGAGTTACTGGCCTGTGGACAGGACAGAGGCAATGGACATAGGCATCTCAACCTCTTGGTGGTTGGGCTTCACCATTGCTGCCTTCTCCTCCCTCTTTTCCCTATGACTGCTTCCTCTTCAACTCCGATTCCATCTTCCCTGCCCAGTCCTAGAACAATCAGCCTGTAACACTTTTTGTGTCCTCATGAATTAAGAGAGCTAGATGACATTACACCATGAACGATGGGTCTTCCATGGGGGCCTCACCTCACCACTGCTGCCCACTAAATTGTCACCCTGCCTCCTCATGAGCATGTCTGTACGCATGCTCCTCACCTGCACTGAAGTGTTGTTTTCTCCTATCAGCTTGAGTGGGAGTGCAATTCTCTTACAGCTGTTAATGCAGTTGTATGGAAACAACCGCCAATGCAGATGTGGGAAGCAAGAGATTAGCTAAAGACATGCCACAGGGGCCTGGCAGAGCTCATCCACCCACTGCTTTGCTCCTCCCTTTAACAGCGTCTGGGGCTTTTTGCCTCCCTCCATGCCCTGCAACCTGAAGGGCATAAAAACTCCCCCTCTTCCACTCCATCCAGGACCAGCTTCCACATTCCAAAGCAAGACTACAAAATGCCTTTTCTACTCCTGCCCCTTTACATACCTATCTTAGCCTTCTTTTTCTTACTGCCAGGTGAGGATGTAACAGATGGGGAGCTGGTTCACATTCTTCCATTGAGACTTCCATGCGTGTCACAAATGAGGTTCCTGGTTAACTTCCCTAGTGAGAATGTCAGAGGTGTCACTTGCCATTGAAATAATTTATCACTACAACTCTCTCTAGTATGTCTCAGACAGGGGACACAGCAACAGGCCACTTAGGCTTAGCTCTCGCTAAACACTCCTGACATTGGTGCCACGATAATTTGTTCCTTAGTTGTTTAGCTGTGTACATTGCCTTACAATTTTGGGGGATGCCCAAGAATAGTGTCTGTAAGCATTTTCACTGAGAAGGAGAGAAAGAATTAGATAAAAATCTTCTTGCCTCTGACACTAACTGCCAGCATGACCTTCAAGAAGAATCTTAATTACTTTTGCCTTTAGCTATTAGCTTTCCATCAGCCAAAGGAAGGTGATGCTAGACTGGGTGAATATTGCAAAACCTTTCAGTTAAACACAAATTTAGAACTGTAGATTATTTTTTTTCTGGTATATTGAGGACCCTGCTTGTGTTCACTGCCCACTTTCCCGTGGAACAAATACTCACCTTAAGTAAACATTAAATTTAGACATCACAAACACAAATACAAAATTTTGGTATTAGCAATCACAGCAACAATGTGAATGCCATAGGATTTATGGTTGTCCGCTCAGGAAAAAGAAGCGGTACCATGGAAATTGTATGGTGAATCACAACAGTTTGAATTGCAAATAGCAGGCTGGACAGTAAAAGGATCAGGGGAAAATGTAACAGAGTAATTTTGAATAGGAAATTCCCTTGAAAAAAAAGCACAGTCCACTTTCAGACTGTCCACAACCCATAAACCAAGATAAAAGTAGTTGATTAAATGCTTTATCGGGTGGCATGACTGTACCACACCACTTCATAGGGCAATGTGAGGTTTTAAAAGGAGATGCTTGTAAAGCACCTGCAAGATATGAAGAGCCACATGGTCTCTGTGTTATTTACTGTGTCACTAGCCACAAGGTCAGCTCCTTTTCCCCTACTCACATCTACGTTTAATAAACATGAACTAGACCTGGCCTGACTATTAAAATTTACAAAGAGCATCTTATTCAGAAATTAATTTTAAGGAATTTTGGTTCTTGGCTCATAAGATCATGAGACTCAGCAGACTTTGTCGAAGTTCTAACAGTCATGACAGAGCACTTTCGGTGCTGTACAGGCTGAGGGGTCAAGTAAAGTGACATCTCTACTACTGAGTCATTCTAACCCCTTGGAGGGAACGCTTACCATCTTTCTTCAGCAGCTGACAGTAAGGACCAAAGAGGATAGACCTGAGGTGAGGAGAGATCTGTGTTAAGGGAACGTATGTCTTTGATTAAGTAGGGTGAAGAATGGCCTTACAAACCTTTCAGGCACAAAAAGTCAAAGGTAAACCCTTGTGCTAGCCCCAAGGAAGGGATAGCACTCACCAACCACTTGTGCTCTATGCCAGAATCTCATTTTCACTCTTTGGATTATCTCCTGGCATTGGTTAAAATCAAAAGGCAATTAGGCCCCCATCAAACGCTGGTTGAGATATGTGTACATGAGGCTGCCACGGCTCAGCATTGCCACACAGCCTGCTTTGGCATGGATCCCTTAATTTCAGTGGAGTTCCCCCTTCTCTTATCCCAGAGTATGTGTTGAAAAAGAAATGTAGCGGCCTAAAGTCTCGGACTGTGCAGTTTAAAGTCCCAATGAATCCACTGATATCTAGCAAAGATCTTTTTCTTTAACATGATGCAAGCTTATTTAGCCAAAGAGAAGTCACTGCAAGTGAAGTGGAAGCTGACTCAGCCCTAAGCTAGATATGACACAACCAGAAGAGGCATCCTCAGTCATCAGCTGGTAGACCAAATTCAGACATGCCATAAATCACATTATAAAGGACAGGAGTAAGTGCTTCTTGTAGCTTCTGTGCCATGAAGAGTGAGTGAGGTGGTAGCAGCAGCAGCACTTTTCCTAGAGTTCAAGACCAATAAAATTAATTGCAGAAATCTTCTGGTTAAATTTCTTACTATAACCTTCCTTTCTACTGTGGGCTTCCAAGTTTGTTCCTCCATCTTTACACTGGCTGAGTGATGTTTCCAAACCTCCTCCTCCTTTTAGGTCACTTCTGAATTTAGCCCATTTTGCCAGGCTGCCAGGGAGTGATGCAGAGGAAGTCGGGCAGCCTCCTTAAAGGCTCACTCACATTTCAGGGACACATGCCGTTGCTGTGCATGCAGAACATGCCGTTGTGCTTGGGAAACGGAAAACTCTGAGCACGCATAAAAACCACTTGTAGACCACTGCATCCCTTCTCAGCTCCTCTACCCCAACATAATGCTGCACACCCTCAGAGACCTACTAAAAAATGAGGTTGGAGATGGGAGGAGAGTAAGAAGAAACCAACATTAAACTAGTGCTTCAGCCTGAAGGTACTTCCTGTGAAAGACTGAAGGCTTGGTCTCAGAAGAGCTGCGGGTTAGGCAGCAGCCATGCAGACTACTCTGCACAGGCCTTCTGACGTCTCTGACTTTGTGGAGGTATCTCCTCCAAAGTCAGGGTAGGTTCCACATCTATTTAACTTCCTCTTAGTTTACCCCATTGAAGGTTTGGCGATATGGACTCTTCCCTCCACAAAACAACACATTCTGTAAAGGCTCCTGAAGAGCTGACAGGTAATCAGGATGTGGCTTATCAGCTTGGCCCCAAATCAATCCAGTGACTTTCTTTGTATTTAAATCTTACTTGCCTTAGGGAATCCAGTACTTCAAAGACATCCACCTGTACCTATGTGCACACACAATGCACACAAAGTAAAAACTAACTGGGAAGATGACCCAGTCTCTCCCCTACTGATGCAAATCAGTAACAAAATCCATCTTAAATAACTGGTAGACAAAGTTAGCGTCCAGGTAAGGAAATGATCCTAGAGAGAGATGCTTGCACACTGTTCCAGCAGATGCATCTGGACTGATTCTGAGAGCCATGGACACTGCGGTAGCCATCAGATACAACCTGTCTCCAGGCTGAGAGGCAGAACACACTTCATGCTGTTAGCACATATCCAAAGACATAGGTAAAAAAGCAAGAGCTTCTGGAGCTTCGAGCCACACTGTTCATGGACTACAGTTGCAACCACATAAATTGAAAAGCCAGTGCTGGTCTTCGAGTCACAAGATGTAAACTCCTGGGTGCGCCCCCAGGGAGGCACCCTAAGAGTTTAATTTCACATTGTCCCCTTGATTTTTTTTTTTTGCTGTGCAATCTGATGAAACATACACCACATGTTGTTTAAACGTCTGGCTGACCCCCTTCATACGGCAGCAAAGAAACTCCTCTTATATTTAGAAGTCCTCTTCTAAGGTTACATATCAAGATACATGCACACTGCTGTTTTGCAGAATGCAGCTGCCCTGTAAGAAGCGAAAGATGCTAACATGATCCAGGAGCTGAGGCCAGCAATTTCAAGTTTCCATCTGTCTCTGCCTGTAATACATGCAGGAAGGAAAAGAGAGCTGGACTTCAGGCATTAGTTGGTGCCTTCAGCATGCAGGAAGACCACATCAAAAAATGGAAGCCTGGAGCAGCTTTGTGGAAGAAAGACTCTTCCTGCCCAGGACACAGATGCTGAGTTGAAATATGTTTTGCCACTTCCCCCCACCATTTCATGAAATAACATCATTCAGTGCATACATATGATAGCTCTTTTTTTTTTTTTTCCCCCTCCAAAAAATGGCAGGTGCAATGCAGAGTAATAACAGACCAAATCCAAATCTAGATGCATGCTGATGAAGAACAGGTAATTTCCAGAGTCTGTCATAGATAATGAAATTTGTTTATATGCTCCTCAAAATATAGAGCAGGCACTAATTCCTCAGTCAGACAACTGCCTTCCACACCCACTGCTGTCACCAGGGGTCATACAGATTTGGGCAGTAAGATGTCATTTAGCTTCCCTATGTCTGATACCTCACTTTGTATGGGTCCGTCACACCTACAACAGAATGATTTGGTTGTACAAGGACCATATTAATTTTCAGCACAGGCTGTGTTTGACTGCATTTCTCAAACATGGTTGAAAATTTATGCAAACATAAATAAATGAAGAGAACCGATACCAGTACATTAGTAAAGCAAAAATAAGATTACCTATGACATAGAAGCACTAAAGGACATTAGAGGAATAGCTGCATTTTCCCCACTCTGTCACATTAAGTGGTTTAATATAAAGCCTTTATTTTTATACCAATCAATAGCACTGTAAGGCAGCAACATTTATCTTCAGAAGCACTGAAGACACAGTGGCTCAATTCTCAATTATATTAGGAGTGAGACTTCAAAGATATCTATCAGCATCAAGATGCAAGTTAGATTTCCAGTATGGTTTTCAAAAGCATCTGAACAAGTCAGGTGTCTAGCTCCTATTGATCTAAATCCTCGTTAGGCACTTTCAAAAGATACTTAGTTGCCTATCCCTATTCTCTAGTGCCCAAAACACTTTGGAAATCTTTCTCCCCTCTCACACCACTAGCTGTGGTTTCTTTTACAGTACTGTAGTTTAGTATTTTGCAGAAGGACGAAACTTTTGTACCCACTTTGATCTTTAGTACACTGACGTAGAAAACTATTACTACAACAATGCAGTGATGTTTACTTTGATGCTAGTGATTCAAGGTGGTGGAAATCTGACCTCTGTTACCTGCTGAGAGACCTCCTTTGGTGACCTCATTTGACCACTTTCCCCTCATGGTAGTAAAGTCCCAAAGAAACTAGCGAGGGACCATTTTGAGAAGGCCTTCACACT